ACGAATCACGATACAAAAAGAGGCAGCCACTCAATCCTTAGATTATAAGAATACAGCACATAGAGCATACCCTATACACCATTGATGAAACACACATAGCCTAGTCTTTCCAATTTTCCATGAAACCAAGCAAGGGATCGCCTTAATATTATATCAAATATAGCATCCTCAATCCAGTTCGCTGCCTTGTGTAGAATTGAGTTTCTACATACCAAATTAACCAAGCAACCAGAAAAAGAGAGAGGAATCACACAAAATCCAATCCTAAACACAAATAAAAACAATCATAAATTTACACCTAAAATGTTAGTTTAGTTTTATACAGTAAAAATGCAAGTGCATATAGGTAGTACGTAAGTTAGACAGATCAAATCGGTTAAATGGTTCTTAACTTCTATATTTGATAGTTGACTCAATAATTATTGGTATTTTCTTTTTATATCCGTTATTTACTTGAACATAATGAAGAGACTATTTGATATAACAGTTTGAAACTAATTGTTAGTGATTTCTTTTAATTTGATAGTTAATAATTGTTATTATTAATAATTCAAATAATCTTATTCATCAGCTTTAATGAAATTATTAATTATTAATTTCAAATTATTATATTAAATAGCTCCTTACTTAAAGATAACTGGTATAGTTGGACCCAATACTTAGCTCTGGTTGGAGATGTCTATAATCACGAGGCCATGAACTGGCCCAATAGCGGTCCACGATCACAGGATAGGCGGCAAAATGGCAAATGCATCCTGGACCCCTACATAAACCAGATCGGAAGGTGGAAAGCTGAGAGTTCTGGCCTTCTAGGTTTGAACTTCCAATTGTTCCGCCAGGAACAGTAACTTTCCGTCGGCGGGGCATATTGCTGTTTTAGCCCTTACTTGAATTATTAAACCCTAACGCTCACTGTCGGCCGTCGGCGATGGTACCCTGTCTTCTCCGATAATGATTTCTTTTCCTTCTTCTTTTTCTTCTTCTTTCTTTCTGATTCTTTTTCTGCTGTGTTCTTACTCTTCTCAGGCGAAGAACGGAGCAGGATCTTTAGAGCAATTCTCGCGAAAACGCAAGAAAATGAGAATCGAAGATGATGATGATGATGATTTATCAGAGAGCCTTTCTGACATTGACGATGCCGAGGTACGACGTGAATTGAATTCTTCTGAATACTGTTTTCTATTAATTACAGTTTTCTTATAGTTTCGCATTGATTTAAGTGTGTTTTTTTTTTTGTCTAAATTTCTGATTCAGTAAGTTCGATATTGTTTTTAGATTAGTAGATATATTCATAGCAAACCGGAGATGATTTTCAAGAAATTGATTTGGGAAGCAATGAATAAGGACTATCAAAAGGTAATCCTTCTTCTCTATTTTTTCTCTACCTGATTTTAAGATTGTTTGCATATACTACAAAGTAAAAACCATCATGTGAACTGAAAACTGATTGGAGACCAGACTAGACAAATGTAGGAACTTTTGGCGGGATGCCGATGTGGAAGTAAGTGTTGTCTGTTTTCTGCTTGTTTAGATGTTTCTCCTGGGTGAGGAGATATGCTGATATGTAGTTTGGTGGTGTTTCTTCGATTTCTAGATCCTGCCTTAGATTCTAGCTAAGGCTAAATTAAGAAGGATGGACAGTGAAGGCAGCTGTTTGTGTTTCTGGTGTAGAAATAATGAGGTTTGTCAGCAGATGTGCTGAAGGTATCAGTTAATTTTTTTCTTAATGGATTATTAATATGAAAGAAAGAAAATCACTGTTAGTCTCCATTTTGTCTGTATAAGAAAAGTCTGTTTGGTTACACTTCATATTGCCTCTTGGCTCTGGTCAAGAGCCATGTTGGTGAGGAAACAAGTGGGAAAACGCCTCCTCGAATTTAGCACCAGAAAGCTTTATAATGTTTTTCCTTACTTCCTATATCAAATAAGAGTCTAACTGGGAACTGCAGGAACTATTATGGGGGTCTGGTCATGTTAGTTTATTGTTTTAGCACTTTTTAGTTTCTTTATTCATGGCATGCCTTTGGTTTAGAAAGCTGATAATCCAAGAATGTAACTCAGGGATCCAAATTATCCTGAACTGGATTAGTTGCTGTTCCCACTTTTAACACAGCTTCAATTTCTGAATTTTGGATGTGTGGTCTTCAAGTTTGCTCATATTGACTTCCTTTTAGCAGGGTAAACAACAGAAAGGAGTCTCAAGAATGAAAAAGCCTCCTTCTGTTAAGAAAACTGCTGCTAGCCAAACAAAAATGCAGAATGAAAAAGTAAGTATTAATGAATTGGTAGCCCGATAGAGTGTGCCCTAATATGCGAATTATTCCATATTACATCTCATTTGTTTACAAACATATGTTGACTAATGCTTTTGCTGTGTATTGTGGTGAATATCTAGCAATGTTCACAATGAAACCTTCGGGTCATTTAGGTTTCTCTTTTTTTTTTTCTTAAAAAAATTCTTTGCTGTTGTGTTCCTGTGAACGCTTCATTTTTCTTAGTATCTTATATTGATCTGATTAGTCCTTTCCTTTGCAGCGCTTCAGTTCAAAAATCAACTATGATGCTTTAAATCAACTAATGAATCAGCCTGTAAGTTCTCTCTCGCATTCTCTTTGCTTTATCTTAATTAATGTGCTATATTCATATTCACCTTTAGAATATAATTTGAGTACATAAAATGACAGAGTTCAATGTTACACACTTTCGCTCTTTTTTTTATCTGCACTGTTTTTTGGTCAATGATACCATCCTTGGAAATCCTCTGTTATAATATTGTGAACTTATATTTGGGATTGCCTCTTCTTATATGAAAGCTTGAACAATGTTCACTGCCATGGTTCATTAATAGAAATTTTAATTGGTGTTTCCATTAGAAAAATCAAATCAAGAGAAATGTCATGTGTACAGATACATTTAGCTATTGAAATTTAATGAAAATTCATCAATTTCTAGCGGTCTTACTGATGCCGAATGAACCTGTGGTTTTTGGAACCACATAAATAACTTTATCTTTGGTTGAATAGAGTTTTGAGGCTTTGGCCTTTGCAATTGGAATTTGGTAGATTTGAAGACCTCTATGTAAATAACACCCAAGGGGGTTGTGGTTCTATTGTTAACTTTCTACTAGGAAATGCAGTAGTAGATATGCCTTTGACCACATCACATTTGAGATATGTGTCTTAATTTTTAATTATCACTGTTGCCTTGTTTAAACAAGAAACCTTAGTCCTCTTTTTACTTCAGGCTTCTTGGATTTGGATCTTCTAGGTACGTTGATGTGTGCTTTAATTAAATATTTGTAGTTATTGCTTGGTATTTGATAATAAACCAATTTACGGGATCAACCATTAGCTGCTGATCACAAATTCACCATGCATTTGCCAATGGCAAATTCAAGAACCAAGCTTCATGACTTTTCCTCTTTCCCCTCTTTTTCAATAGCGTCTACTGTCTTGTTTTGATTAGGTGATTCACATAATAAGAACCAAAAAGGCTGCTATGAGGAGAAATTGCATTGAACCAGGAAATAGAGAATATGTAGAGACAATAAGACACTAACTGCAGATTCTCTCTTTGAGTTAGTCAGTAATAGTTAGGAATTTTCAGCCATAAGGTAAATCTGATTGCTATATCGTTTCTTGTAATTGTTGTCTTTGCAGGAGGAGGTTCCAGAAAAGTCTAAGGAAAAAATCAGAGACCCCAACTCTAGCAGGTGCAACGACTCACAGCATTCCAACCAAGAATTTAGTCTTGAAGCACAAAGTCTTGAAGAAGGTGAGAACAGCGGTGAGTTTGAGGACGATAATGAATACAACGAATACACCGATGCTAATATCTATTATGAAAATTGGGATGAAGAAGATGGACTATCAGAACAATTATGATTATGACGGATATTGATACCTTAGACTTTTCTAAATGCTTCGGTACTCGTTAAAAGTCTATTTCTTTTACCAAATCACAATGAGGGTGAGGAGCTCTGAATCTGAGTCTAATTTTTGGTGCTACGGGTTTATTTATCCATATCAATGTTGGTCAATGATATCAGTTTTGAAAATCTTTGATGAATTGAAACGATAGTGTGGCCGAGAAAGTTTTCAGAGGAGAAGATTCTATAATTATATAAGAAAGAAAAAAGTGAATGTGGAGTGTACTTATAACAGTTGATGATGGAGGAGAGGATCTTTTGATATTAGAAGTTTATCCCTCTATTATTAGTTAAAAATTAAAAAAAAATACAGTCTACACAAGGTGAATTACAATTCAGCATTCTCTATAAAAGAAAAGAAGATTGTATGGTGGGAATAAAATTTTACTGATATATCTCATTTATATATTTTCCATGCATCATGCATTTTATTGTGTATTATTGTTTTTGTATACGTGCTTGTGTTGTGTGATTTGGTCAATAATATTTGGTGCGTTTGATATATATTTTTCTAAAATTTTATATTTTTGTCGCAATGTGAGGCATTTCTTTCATTTCTTTAGTCAGCATATTT